TCTCTCTCTCTCTCTCTCCTCCCTCCCTCCCCCCCGTTGTTTTACTTTTCATTACAATTTGTTGTTGTTAATATTATTATTATTTTATTTTACTTCAAGTATTAAACTGTTCTTATCTCAACCCATGAGTTTTCTTACTTTTGCTTTTTCGATTCTCCCCCCCACCCCACCGGGGCGGGGAGGGTGAGTGAGAGGCTGTGTGGTGCTTAGCTGCTGACTGGAGTTAAACCACAACAACATCCAACACACTTTGCAACAGAATTTGACATGCGACAAATACTTTTAAAATATATGGATGTTATTTAGTAGAATAAGTTGTACTGTTGATTAAAAAGGGCCTTTACTACTTAATAACAAAGATGCTTTTTAAGACACATGGGAGAAGGCAGTCTGAGAGAATTGGACTGGGAAAGGTGATGTGCAAGAGGGGGAAGCTGTGTGGCTCCACACCTGCTGTACCTAGCACACACTGTGTTAAAATTTGCTCTGGCCTTTTGCCCCCAGCAAAAACTACAGGGAGGCATTGCAGGAAACTCACCTCTGCAATATCCCAGGAGCCTTCAGTTAGTACCAAAACTTCGCATTATCCATGGCTAGTTAACATCCACATTTTTTCTTGTCAGCTTTGTTTTGAAGCTTAAATGGATCTTCTCTCCTGGTATTTGCACTGTGATGCGTTTAGAAACAAATTAATGGTCCAGACAATGCTTTCACCAAAAGCAAAAAACAAAGAAGCGCCCACAAAATACATTCTCTGCTTCTGTTTACCATACCAGCCCTTCATCACAACAGTTGTGCTTTCAGTGTCTTCCTTGAATACTGTGGCTAACCACAATCCCATGCTGGTACAGGTGATGGGTTACCTTAATCTTCAGCCAGCTTTTTAGTAACTTCAGCCCACAGGATGCTCTGATCTTTCCACATGCTGACACACCTTTCTGACTTTGAGTCGAGCCCCATTTTTGTTTCCACATCCCACTACCAGCTGGTGCTACGCCTGACCTACTGACCTGGTAACCCCCTGCAGCCGGACTGCCTTCCAGCCTCGCTGGCTGTCCCATGTCCTCTGGCCCATGCTGTTTGCACACCACAGTTCCTGAGCTAGGTGCCTGCAGCACATACTTTCCTGAAATTAAAGGGAGGGAAAAATCTGACCCCCCTGCATTAACAATACCATATTTACCAAGAAATACATGAATAGCAAAATCCAGGCACAATTCACCTTGGATGACCCTATGGTGAGTCCTCCCCCTGGCAAAGGTAAGTGTGAAAGCTCCTGTGTGCCACTGTCCCAAGCGGGCTTCTGAGTCAAAGATCCAGCCCCACCACAAAGGGCTGCTGATGCCTTGCCAACCCTTCCCCGTATCTTCCCCTATGTACATACGGCTACTCCTGGACAAAGAGCTGGTGTTGCTTTGATACACCTTTCTACACAGTACAATGGGAGCACACAAAGGCAAGCGTTTGTGTTGGTTACAGAGTTTTCTGTTTCGCTGAGCAACTGCCAGTGTTTCATGTTTGCCTTTGCAAGGCACATTTGACCTTCCTGCTGCCTCCAAAAGCATTTGTTATCTCAACGTCCTGTGGAGGAACATTTGAAAAAGGAAGGGGAGGAGAAATGCAAAATTTGACACTGGAGGAAACTTCCAGAGGACACTGCTTTTTTGTGCAAAAGCACACTAGCTAATAATGAAGCTGCTGCTGGTTAGAGAAAGGTGTATTTGAGAATTTTTTAACAGACTGTATCTAAATACAGCAGAGAGTGTCTTCGTGAAGATTTGAAATAGAATAGCTTGGGAATGGAAGGAGAAGAGAAGATATGCACATATACCTGCCAGCGGATACAAACAGGGTTTCAGCCAGGAAGTAGTTCAGCCTTTGTCTATTTTTCACTTAAGTTATTTTTTATTTCTGTGTATTAATCATAAAATGCTCATGCAAATAACGCTCTCAGTATTACAGCCTAGAACCTAAACCTTTCTTCATTTTTCAGGCAATGAACCTAAAATACAGCTATGGCTTATCTTTGTCAAATGCATTTTGAGATGAATTTGGAAAATCCCCACAGAAAACATGCAGTGATTTTCAAGTTTAAGACATGAGGACTGTTTTGAAACTTGAATTTTTACTCTATTTAGCTACACCTTCTTCCTCCTCTCATTACAAGACAAACGCTTGTGACAAGTCGTCATTGGGCAAAGAACACCAGTAGGTTCAAAGGCACTACAAAACGTGAGCTCTTCCCAAATCTAAGTTACTTAAAGACACTTTAATATGTTAAAAACGGATGAGTAACTTTTGCCACATCCTCTCTAAGGTAATATTACAAGTATTAAGAAACTGATCCATCACAAGACTTCTTTATTACTAGTAAATGCCTTATAACCAAAGTTGGATGCACCCGATTCTCTCTCTACAAAATGCAACTTTGTCACATAATTGTTCAGAAACTTACTATTCTTCATTTTTAAACTGCTTTTCTTCAACTAAATAGTTCCTCCACCCCAAAATTATAAACCCTATTTAAGAACAATTTCTCTGTAAGGATCGAGGAGGCCCTAAAAGCAGTTACACTTCCTAACATTTTCACGTATTTCTATCTTACATGCAGTCAGGCTGAAAAATCTACTCTTTCTAATTTGCGCAAAATATATTTGACATCACTTGTTTAAATAGTAACAGAAAAAACAACTTTACAAGGTGTTACATTAAAAAGAAGTGTTCAGAACCCACAGAAGTCTATTCCAGCACCAAAAACGATCTTCTGTGACCAAAGCCATTGACTCATTATATGCTTTCTCATTTCCCTGCAACAGGAACTTCTTCGCCTGTTCACCATCATCGGTAATGCAAAACTACAGTTAGCAAACCCTGAACGCATGGCTCTGGACTGCAATGTCTCCCAGACATACCGGTTTAAATAACTTTAAAATATGATATCCATCTTCAGAGCTAGAGCAGTACTCAGCCTTATTTTTGGTGTGACTGCATGCACAGTTGTGCCCCACCACTCAAGGAGCAGAGCAGACATCAGGAAAGGTTGTTGGAATACCACAATAAGTTTGGCAACCAAACACTCTGCATCACTGAACCACAGCCCCGCATGCAGGCATACACAAAGCGACCTGTGGAGACAAGCGCGTTTGCATTGCCTATTAGTATGTAATCTGAGGTAAACTCCACTGTATCATTTTCCTAGAACAGGTGTGTCCGTTGCTCCTTCCTCAAAAATTAACTCCAGAATGTGCCATATAAGCTCTTTAACACCATGAGTCAAAGAAAAGGTTAACTACCGTGCAAATCATGTAACTGAGAGAGCATAAACCAGTTGAAAACATGAATGGTTTGGAGCAATGTAATTGTTAGCCTGCAGGTGCTAATTTTATTGTTTATAGGCATCCTCCTATAAACAAGTTACTCCTGTAAGACTACAAATAAAACCAGTAGGGATAAGACAAAACAAATAGAATTAAAAAATAAAAATAAAAAAATTAAGATCACTTTGTATGATGAATTGGTAGCTCAGGGTCAACCACCAGTCATGCAACAGCTCTGGGCTGCTCTGTTTTTAAGTCAGTAGTCTCTGTTCAAATCATTCTTCATAAACGAGCTCAGCTCACTCTGTGCAGGCAACTTTGCAGAAGCCTGTTCTTTTCACATGAAAAGGAACCACTGCCAGCAATCACAGCAAGAGCAAAAGGTAATTTAAAATACTTCTCTATTGACTTCTTACTCTAGACCTCACATACTCACAGAGTCCTGACTGCTTCTAGACATCTCAGGATAAAAACTGCTATTGCCGTTCTTTCACGCAACAAGCTCCAACTCAAACTGAAAATTATTCATGTAATAAATCAGAACACCAAACACGTACAGCCAGATTTTATTTACATCCTGAAATCACTTTGCATTTTCCCACATGCTGTCACTAAGAGATATCTGTTTCATATAAAATCTTGGGCTCACAGTCTTGAGAGCTTGACAGAAGTTTGCTTGTACTACACAGGACCAGCAGAGCAGCTTCACTTGTTGAAGCTTCTATGGAGACTGAAGTCATTTAAGGATAATCAAAACTTACATTGTAGGATAATCTCATTTGCATGTTTTTAGAAAAAAGAATGTTTTCACCAGCTTTTATAAATAAACAATACAAAGCAGCTATACTTATGTTGAAACTGTTTTCCTTGATACAGTACTTACATTTTAGCTGGACTAAAATATCAGTATTCATAGTAATTTCACCTGTTTTCTAAAGGCTCTTCCACATTTTTTGAGTCTTTTCGTTTCCACAGATTTCCAAGCACAATCCCTATGAAGAGCAGAACTCCTACAGTACGATTTGAAGCAAATTTCTTCCAACAATCTTCAGGTTTGTCTATGTCCAAAGTGTAAATCTGCAAAAGCACAGTATAACATTCTAGCATTATTATTTACAGACTCATAAATATTTGAAACATCACAAAAAGACACAAAAAGGTCTGTAACTTCAAAAACTGAATCTCAAATTCTAAAGTCTACCCTTACCTCCACAAGAAACAGGAATACTCTGTGCTTACGAAGGATTTTTTGCATAACTGGCATCTATGTTTACTTGACAGATTTATTCAACATACAGCAGAAAAGTCAAGCATCACATATGAACACGACTCCCAGACCCTCTCAATGAAGAACCATGTAAACAGCCTAGATACTGGTGTGTCTGGTTTGATATTTAAAAATGTAAAAATATCTGGGCATGTAAATAAGTCTTTTTAAGATTTTCCTCAGTAGGTAGCCACCTAATTCTTCAATGGGAACTTTAAATAAAAATAAACCCTCCAAAACCTGCCTGCACCTTTAAATCTCTGCTGCAAGGTGTTGCTCCCTGTTTCAGCAGAGACAAGGCACTGGAGATCCAGCAGTGAACTAGGCTAACTGGAATGCACAGGAACGTGCCTGGCCCTGCCTAGTCATACAGGGGTGGTTTAGTCCAGTCGCTCTTAGCCATGTCTGTTCAACTCTCTTGCAAAAAAGAACCAGGACACCTGCAACAACAGCCAGAAGCAAGGCTTGCCCAGCTTGGCAGCTGTCTGCTGTGAGTCACAACTAAAGCTGAAAAAAGCCCACACAGTGCAGCAGGAGAAAAGTTACTGAAAAATATTCCTGGAAACAAAACTTGGTACAAAAGTCTTGAGAAATGTTAAGCAAAACAAGTGAAGGCATTAATAGAGAAGTACCCCCCAAAACCTCAAACCTTGCAATTCAGCCTCTGAAGAAGTCAAACCAGAACGTATCCGATTAAAAGAAGTGAAACTTTCCCGGGGAAACCTGTTCCTCTGCAATTTGTGGTTGTACAGAGGTGACAGGGCTGGGTTCTGATCAAATAATCTGAAATGTCCACGAGCTTCTAAGATATGATGTTATCCACACCCTTGAAAACCGGTCAGCCCCTCAACCACAGGGAACTGAAAACACTGAACTGACAAATAAAACCCAACAGCCAAGCCATGAGATACACCTTCAGAAATGCAAAGCAAATAAAAGATGTTATTTTTCTATCTGTGAACTTCTTGAGTGGGATAGAAATTTGACATCTTCATGACCCAAATTCCTCTGTCTCAGGCACAAATTCAATGAATTAAGGAAAACCTACCCCTCAACGCGGCTTACTCAGCTTTTTAAACTCAGTTAGTTAAGCACAGGTTCAGAAATCTTGAACAAGAAGAGAAGCATGAGAATGTTTAGGCAGAACTAATATTAAAATAATCACTCAAAAAGAAGCTACTCTGTGGTACACAGCACAATGCTGCTCTTGTGACTTTGGCAATCTACACAACTGTTGTGCACTCTTCACCACTTACATTCAATAGGTCTGCATTCTCACTTACAAAAACCCTCCCTGCAGGAAAGTAATTTCCATTTGTGCCAAAACTACAATGTAAGGCCTCTCTGACAATTCAAACTGTAAATGAGTATGCAGCGGAATGTAGTATTCTCTCCCTCATAGATTTCCAAGCATAATCACTCTGAAAAGCAGTGGCTGACAAGTACCAGACTACATCATCACAAGAATTCTCTTACTCAGAGGTATGCTTAATATTCATCACCTGCGTGAGCTCCCCCCATTAAAGTGTAATGTAAGTCTAATGTGCTTTAAAAAGTTTCATGTTAACCACAGACTTAACTTCTCAGACTGTCGACAGTTTTACTACTTGCAACACACAAATTTCTTTACTATCACTCACCTATCAAGACCAGCAATTAATTTTCATATAAACTGACTTGTCACTACAAGACTGTTACAGTTGTAAGGATTCAGAAAGAACAGGGTAACAAGATCCTATCTGCTTCCTTTACTGACAAAGCTAATTTCTTTCTTTCTGTTATTAATTAAAATTTCTAAACTAATACAACTACAAGACTGAACTGGATTGTTCTCTGCTATAAAAGGAACTGTGAATTAGAACTGTCAATTACCATAAAATTATAATATTAACATCTGCTACAGGTGTAGTGAACAAGTCACAGAAAAATGTTATACTGTCAGATCCTAGACTAAAGCTCCAGACCACAGTACAGAATAATTATTTAGATGTAAAATTAATCATCTCTGATTCAGAACATGCAATATTCATTTTCATATAGCTACTGTACAGCATGTTATAAAAAAAAAAAAAAGCCTGTATGTGTCGTTGATACTGTAAACCATATAATCTTTTAAAGTAAGTGAACGATCATAATATACATCAATTGCAGTCTCAGATCATATGCGCCAGACATAGCAAGTGCTGTATCAGAACAATAAAAACTGCACAGTCTTGCAGGATATTGAAGTGGATCTGGCTGCAGCTGCTACTGGAAGTGAGAAGAAAACCCTTGAGACCACAGCTTAACACGAGGCAGTTCTTTTGGTTAGGAACAGATTGAAAACCAGTGCTCCACAGTCTGCAGACCATTGAAGGTCTCTTCAAACAAAAGGTCTGCAAAAGGTACTTAAGAGAAGCGAGCTTATTATCAGAAGACTTCAGTTCTCTTTACAGGAATTGTTTTTTTTAGGTAGTTGGCGAATTGATGGGGGTTGAAAAGCACTCTGATTTCTTATCAAGAACATGGAAAAAGTATAAATAAATCCATAAAACCTGGTGCGCTAGGTGAGCCCCTACGGCAGCCACAGTTGAGTAATATGGGAACGTCTGGTTACAGTTCATTCCTGCCATGCACAAACTCAGGAGCATTGCAAGGCTGAAGCCACTGAGCCACTGCTTTGTATCCTCCTTGAACTGTAATGCTGTTGACTTCACACCGATAATGATGTCGTCCCTCTTATCCTAGAATGAAAGGATGAATTAGCAAAAAATTCACAATCCAACTGCCACTTCATAAGGAAAAGAAAAAGGGGGACCTTTCTTAAGTTTCCAACACTTCTTATTAGGAACCTGATTTAAGTGCATGTGTAGGTCCCTACATTAAAATTTAAATTAGAAGCTTGGTCCTTTAAGCTGCTTTAGCAGCCAACAGCTAATACCAACATCAAAGTTACTTACACAATGAAAATGCATGAGCACACAAAGTGCATTATACTTCCAGCTTTCTACCTGATTTGCAAACAGCAGTAAAAGGTCCAAGGGCTGGGGTTTCTTTGGTGCTGTTTTAGCTCAGCTGAGGGTGAAGAACTGCAACAGGTTAGTACTGCTGTTTGACAACAAAGTTGTAAATTAAACACACAAACATACAGAGATATCTAAAATTTCCCTCTGTTACTCTACCTGATGTGCGTAAATGGTATCATATACTAGCGTCCACATCACTCCAGCTAAGTACACGGGCAAACACACAGACCACTCACATGACCCTTTGATGGCAGACCAGCCAAGAAGGGCTCCCCAATTAAATGTAAGTCCTAAAAACATAATGAGAGTAAAACAAAGAAAAAAAGTTACAAGATTGCCAGGAGCAATTGAAATTACATGTATAGAATTAAATATTATTTGTTTGAGTGTATATCATATCAGCAGCTTTTTGTACAATACTGGCATCTCTATTTTTCTACCACTTACCTTCAGTCAGGTAATAAATAGAAGTAATTTGACATTAAATACTCTGGACATACAAGGAGAAATATGTATAGCCACGCATTTTTCCCCAATTTAAATTTGACTTCATTAGCATAGGGAAACATTTGCACAGAACTACTTCAGTGTACTCAAACAATGGGTCTAAAGTTAAAACACTGAGATGTCAGTATCACAAAAGATGTCAGTATAACTGACTGCAAAAGAGTGCACAGCAGCCAACTATGGTACTTCAAGGCTCAAAATGATAATTTTGGTTGAAAAAGCTGAAGACAGCTGGAATGTGAAGGCCAAGATACAAAGATATGTTTTAGTAGCTCAACCTGAAATACAAGCATCATCAGTTTCTGCACAGGAGTTATTTTAGAGGCTGAAGACTGAAATGAAGGACAAATGCGTGTTTAAGAAAGGTTTTGAGACAACCCCGAAACTAAAGCTGATTCTCAAATGACAAATATTTATTTTCTCCCTTCCTTTCTCCCTCCCCTCACTCCGCCAAAATAAGGAACTGATTTTTAACAAAAAAAACCCAGACCCAAACATCAACTCTTATATGTGTTATAAATTGTTTAAGAAGCTTCTGGCACAACAGAACTTTGTCTATAAGGTATTTTTATTTTAATATGAAGTTATAAAAAGATCAGATTGCTGAAGTTCAATTACTAATTTGTAAAACACCCCAAAAACTACATCTGAAGAACAAAAATAGTAAAAATATTTCCAGCTCACCCAAAATTAACTGTGGCCAATATGTTACTCTCTTCATCAAAGGGTAGGTGATCACAAGAGACAAAGAGGCTGCTCCCAGAATGATACTGTAAAAAGTACCAAGAGGTTTATTGTTTGCCAGTCTAAAGATCACAAGATATAGTGCAGCATGACAGGAGCTGTACATAGTACTGAACTAATTCTTTTACTTTCAAACACAATTCCATGATTAATAACCTCCTCCCTCTGCCTCCAACACCCTTTCTGCCAAAAATCTCTGTGCTTAACTCTGGATCTGGAATCAAATTTTAAAAAACAAAAGATAACTTATACATCACCTATAGTAATTCAGACACAGAAGCACACAAAGCGCCAAGCTAAGCTGTCCCCCAAGAAAGACAAAGGACTGAAAAGTGGAGATATCTCCAGCTGCCAGGGGCCTACTTGCTGTCCTCGCAACCTAAAAATGGAAAGAATAATGTTAATACCAAATCCAACATAACACATTCCAATGTATCATAAAACTAAAAGTCCCACCATTGGCATACAAGTGGAAAAATAAACAGAAACGGATCACAGAATGTTTGAGATGGGGTTCCTTCAACAATACAAACCTAACATATCATCACGGACGTGAGCTGTATTTGTAAGCAACAGCGCTTATAATAGAAGCATAGAGGCTTTAAAAACTAGCGCAGAAATAAAGTGCCACTTGTGTGCAATGAGGCCGATCAGAAACACTGTAGGCATCTTGTACATGAATTTTATTACCTTAGGAAAAAAAAAAATCAGACTTAAAAAGTTGTGAGCTAACTATCCCAATTTCGAGCAGCACTTCTATGCCTAAACGCTTTAAAGTGATTACCACATAAAATATCGTAAAGATGCAGGGCTCCTCTAGCACACATAACCATTGTTAATAACAGTGAAAGAACAATTAATTTAATCCTAGTCGGGATACAATGGACTTTAGAAACTCTGTCTGGAATAAGAAACCATACAAGGCAAACTGAAGGAAGAAACAAACTGAAATGTATGGTGAGGTACCTGCCAAAGGTGACCATTGCCAAAAAAAAAAAAAGACAAAAGTTTTGCACGTTGATGAAAATGGTGTAAAGTCTATCTGAAGAGGTTCGAAAGCCAACTTTTTACAGAATACTATGTATGTATAAAATGTTCTGCATATGCTTTAATAATGTGAATTTAAATAAACTCTTTTAGTTTATTCTCCCCCCAATCAGGTTATGTTAAACATCAAATACTGCTTTTGCAGTTTAAATGTGCACTTAATGTATTTGTGACTAATTCCACTGCACATCATAACCAAACATGGGATGTTTCATTTAAAGAAAAGAAAACATCTACTAAATAATCAGTAACATAAAATCTAAAACCCCAAACCACCATCAGCAACACAAGTCAACATCCTGATATTGACCCAGCCTCTATCGCACTTGTTTTGAAGGTATCCTTTTAATGTAAGAAAGAGCTATGATGAGAATTTTTAAAACTTTACATCTAACCACATCACATTAATGCATAAATGGATTCATTATATTGAAAATTCCATCTTACCAATCACACCCCCACCCTGTCAAATATTTTTAGCATATGTAGTTGTTAATAACCTCCGAACCCTAAACCATCCAAAGCTGCCACGAAACTTGGACTGATTCATTGCCTTCCCAACAGCACAAATACAACAGTGCTCTAAGAAGAACTTCACATATCACATTGGCTCATTATCCAGTTTCTTGCCAGCGCTGAAACCCAAAACCAGACGAACAACACAGGAACAGAAAACAGGACAAGCAAACAGTGACACATCACCAGGATACTCCCCTCCAAGCCTGCACCTATGCACATTTCAAGATCTGACACTGGGCGCTGCCTTTTGCTTATTTCCCTCTTCTGAGCAAAAGGGAGATGAAAAATACAACATAATAGAAGAGGCTTAGCTCAGGGTTGGGAATGATACTCTCAACAGCCATTCTCAAGAAGAAATTAACAATATTCAAGGAAATCCTGCTCCTGAAAATTTAAAAAGAAAGAAAAAAGTGGTTCTTGGGTAGATCGTAACTAGCAAGTGTAGCAAAAAAGTGTTATTTATTTTGTTCTGTCATGCAAAAAAAGTTGAAAAATAAACTTGTTCAAGTACTACCTACAGCTGACAACATATATTCTATCTTACAGAGGTAAGTATTCTGGAAGACTTATTACAGTCCTAGACAGAGAAATGTTATACAAAATAAAGTTATTTCTACTATTCTAGGAGGAAGTGTAGAAAAATTAATTGCACACATCTCAGACAGAAACACAGAGGAATTTCTGAACATGGAGCCCTATGTCTGCACTCAGCAAGGAATCACTGGTGATGTTGGAGATGAGCGGACATGTACTTGGTTAATTAACCAACAATTCACTTCCCTAGGTCTTTGCAAGCCCACGGGGGTTTCTCCACCTTTTTGTCATAGTCGCGATCCCACATGTCATTGATCGTGCAGCCGGCTCCACGCATGAGCACCGCTCCAATGCCGAACAGGGACAGCATGTGCCAGTCCGGGAGGCAGCCCGGCTCGGCCGCCAAGAAGCCGATGCTCCAGGTGCACGGCAGGTACAGCAGCCACGTCCCTGAGGGAAGACAAAATCCGCGCGTGGGGTAAGGGGGGAAACGAGGAGCGGGGGGCCGCGGGGCAGGACGGCAGCTCGCTGCTGAGTAACGGCGTTGCCAGGCAGGCAGACGCGCTTCTTTGGCAAAACTCTCTGCCCGGAAGAGGGCGCGTGTGGCCCGGGAAGGGTGCTACGGCCACCGGCACAGGACTCCCACC